GGTCCTGTGGTGGAGAGTAACCTCACAGGGTGACCGGACCATACTTCCTATTTGGGCAGGTCACGGGGGTCGACACCCCTGAGGATGTAACTTTTTTTTAGCAAAAGGTTTATCTTTGTCTTGGGCAAGCCTTGCCATTGTTTTTGTGCAACACATCTTGGACATAAGCCTTAAGCACCCCCATGAAAGCACATAGTCTCGCTAGCTCGCCTGTACCAATCCCTGCCTCATTCTCTCGCACTTCCATGTAATATTCCTCACGTTCCCTCTAATCCGAAATGCATAAAGTAAACAGCAAAACCGTCCTTCTCTGGAGCATTTGAGATACTGCTTCCCAGCAGCTGTCATCAGTTTTGGCTCAAATAAATTTTTACAAAAATTCTCTCTAGGGTTAGACACTCTTAAATCAGCATGTGTTATGGCTCCCTGGCAAATAACGGGCCGCTAGGATTTCAATCATCATTAACCGAGTTTAAGGAAAGCAACTGGCAGAACCTCTTCCACGTGAGTCTCCTAAATGTGCTCACAGGACGCCGGCTGGCCTCCCTTGGCAGCGGCAGCCGCACCAGAGGCCTCGCTAGGTCAGTTAGCTCAGGCAGCCATGCTGCAGCAGACCAGGCCCCGCTTTCTCCCACAGAACGGATCTTCCAGGGCCCAGCTCTATGTACTGTGTGTCTGACACCTCAATGTCCACTTCTCTCACCCATTTGCCTGTCTAACAAGGTGGACAGTGGCCATTCCTGGTTCCCATGACCGCAAAGGACCAGTCTCCGTTCAGAGCTGCCTCTCATTTGTCCCAGTGCTTTTCCTCCGCGCGCCCGTCTCCCGTTTCCCTAACAACAGCCTCCCGCCGCTGGTGCTCCCGGACACCACGCCTGCACATCCAGTGCTCCGTGTGCCTTCCTCTCTCAGGAATCTCCATTCCGGGCTGTCAAACAGCACAGGACACACCCTTCCAAACGGAAAGCCCGAAGCCCTGACCGATGTGCTGACAGGTCTAGAGCTATTCCACTTTGCCCTGACGTAGGCAGAGCAGAAGGCAATTTATTGTAAACAGAGAACTCAGAGAACCTGGTTATTTCCTTTCCCCTTTTTGTCCAGATTGTGGGATACTGTGTAAAAACTTTCTTGCAGCCTGACATCTAGGCTCGGAATAAAGTGAGAGGGTATGATAGCTACACAGGAGAGCGTTTCTGACCTTATTCTCAGGTGAAAACAGCACAGGTTTAACCACACACCAATGTACATATCTAAAGGGAGCGTTTCACTGGGCCTATCTCTTTAGCAGATTTTCCCTATAACGTTTCTGAGTATGATCTGATGTGTTGGACATATACGTAGAAGCATGTTGAGTTGGCGTGGCCACTGGAATGCAATACAGTTGACCCTTAAACAATGTGGTGATTAGGGCCACTGCCACCCCACCCCTGGCCACAGTCAGAAATCCATATGTAACTTCTCCAAGCCGCCCCTCTGTCTCCATGGAGTGTTCTAGGACCCGCCCCCATCATGGATAAAAAATCTGCAGATGCTCAAGTCCCTTATCTATAACTAGAGCCCGATGCACGAAAACTCGTACAAGAATAGGCCTCCCTTCCTGGCTGCCAGCACCAGCTTCCCTCCCGCACCCGGGACCGGGCTTTGCTTCAGCCGCCCACAGGCTCCCAGGACCCGGGCGGCTTCCCTCCGGGACTGGGCCTCACTCTGGCCCAGCATCGTCCGGAAGGACATACGGTCTAATTAGCATATTGTCCTTTTATTATTCTAGATGGTGTAGAAAAATGCATACAGTTGGTCCAACTGTGAATTGAAAATACAGTTGTTTTTCAAAGTGAAATTGATTTCAGAGAGAAGAAGGAGGGGAGGGGAGAGAGAGAGAGAAAGAAAAAGAGAGAGAGATTGATCAGTTGCCTCCTGAACACATCCCAACCAGAGGATGAACCCATACCTTTTTGTGTACAGGATGACGCTCCAACCGAGCCCCACCGACCAGAACCAAAAATAGTTTCTGATGCACGGTTGGCAGAATCCATGGATGTAACACCCAGGATCTGGAGGGCCAACTGCATACTTATTAAACAAAATGACATATAAGAGGACTCGCACAGTTCAAAACCGTGTTGTTCAAGGGCCAACAGCAGAGCCAGGATCCTAGCTCCTCTGATTCCTGCTGGGACATAGGAAACCTTGGGGGGCTGCTGGGGAGTGGGCTGAGCCCCAGGCTGGACCACACCGGGCTGGAGCGGAAGCCTGACCTGCAGGACCACCACCAGCTGGACGGGCTCTTGCAGAGGAGCTGCAGTTGCATCGTAGACACGACCTCCTTTGCAGAGGGAGGCAAAACTGCCTGCCTTAGTGAGCACTGATCTCACCATCATTTTAAAAGAAAATCTCTCTCCAGGGGCACCTGAGACTTTCAGCGGCAGATTATCTCACTTGGGTGGAATGCCTGACTCTCGGCCAGAACCCTCTGCTTCAATTACAGAGGCAGCTGATTTTCAAGGAAAAGTTTATTCCACACAAGGGGATTTTAATGCCGAGTAAAACAGCAGAATAGGAAATGAGAATTTTTTTGCTTGTTTTGCACAGCATCTGTGAAAAGCTGGCTAACTTAAGTGTTTTCGTGTGATAATCAAGAGTGGTTAAGTTTCTGAGGGCAACATAGCATTCCTAAGGCCTAACAACAACAAAACACAAAAACAACCCCCGCCCTCCACCCCCCCCCCCCCCAAGACTCCTCGGGGACAGGCAGGGAAGGGATGAGATCGATCGCTGGCGCCTGAGGCTCAGAGCCCGGGCTAACCCTAAGGCCAGGGAGAGCCTCAGAGAAAACCAGCAGTGACAGTCACACATCCTGTGAGGAGGGAGTCACAGAATAGGAGAGGAAAGTGTACCGTCCAGAACCACATACAGATGACACAGACTCTGTTGTAGAAGATGACTGTGTGTACTATTTTGAGGAGGTAACTGTTAAATATAATAAGATAATGGTTAACAGTCATAGTAGATATGCATACAGAAAAATATTTTTAAACAAAGGCAATGATTTCCTTATAGAAGGGGAACCCATGATATTAGGAAAAATAGAAAAGACATCTTAAGTTCAGGGCCTTCAGACTAGCCATTTACCCTATGAATGGCTAAATTCCTTTCAACTTACCCCTTCATCACAGAAAAGCAAGCAGATGTTTGTGCCTCACTGCCAGCTGCCATTTAAAGTCCGGGCAAGTATCAATGAAACATTTTAAAGTTTTTTTCCTTATAGTAGAACTAGTATTTGTTATATTATAATTCACTATAATTGTCTTTTCCTTAAGATTGTTGCCAGCCTCTTAAAAAAATTACTAACAAAACTTCAAATACCTGTCAATTCAAAAGTTCTTTTCAAAAACTGTAGTCTTTTAAAAAGTTACTAAAGATTATAATACATATACCTGATATGTATATATAGTTTCCCCCCACAAATACTAGTCATACTATGCATGCAGTTGTGAACAGTGAACAACATTTCATGAACGTTCCTTTACATACACAATGTAGAAGTAGAAGTAGTCCCTGTTTTGGCAGAATTCTAAGATGGTCCCCAAACTTGCCTCTTAATTCTAAGGTGGCAGCATCCCCAGGAATGCCAGTGCGGTGGCTTTCATTCCAACGACCGGTTAGAGCCACGGCAGCACTGGCTGTGGAATGAGGAGGTTGTCTGGGTGAACCAGGCCTTTCAAAGTGCAGGATTTCCGCCCACGGGGTGCAGAACAGGAGTCAGAGATCCGAAATCTGGGAAGGGCTCACTGCATGCTGACCCTAAAGACGGAGGGGCAGCCCAGGCAAGGCAAGCAGGTGCCTTTCGGAGCCGAGAGCAGCTCCGACCTGCATTGAGAGACCCTGAATCTTCCCGACAACCCGTGAGGCTGGGCCATCCCCCAGGGCCTTCAGACTAGCCCGCAGCCGAGGTGACACTGGCTTCTGCCTGCCGACACCCTGAGCGGAGTACCCAGCCGTGCCTGGACGGATTTCTAATCTCCAGAGCTGTGAACTAAAATGCAGTCATATTAACCCGTTATGTCTGTGGCAATTTGTTACGAACAACAGAAACTAATTTAGTCCCTCACTTCTTTTTGCCCCTGTATTTTCAAAGGTTACACTATTATTTATTTAGACTGCCTTAAGATATTTGCTATTACAAAATAACATTCTTACATGTATGAGTTTATTGGTATCAAATTGTTCAGAGTAACAGGTACATGATTTTTAAAATGTGCTTATGAAACCAAAAGCAATGACAGAAAAATGGGAAACGCTGGACTCCGTAAAAAGGAAAAACTGCAGTGCACTAAAGGACATCATCGAGGACGTGGAGAGACCCTCCAGAACAGAGGACGTGTGTGCCTCCCGGACCTGCTAAGGGCAGAGCATCCGGAAAGCACAAAGAACTTGCATAACCCCGCCGGCCTCCAGGAGAAGCGGGGCCTGGAGCGGCTGGGCCTGGGCGGGAAAGCAGGCTCACCTCCGCCCCTGGCCGCGCCTCTCCCCCAAGCTCAGGCCAAGAGGCCCATGGAGCCAGGCCCCGCCTGCCCAGCAGATGCTGCCCCTCCCAGGCCGCAGCGGCACGAAGGCTGCGTGGCCCCCACTCCGGACACACTGGCCGGTAGCCCTGCGAGCCCTCTCTGCGCGCAGAGGGCAGAGCCGGCGTCCTGCCTCTGGAGCGGGGCTCCACGGACCCGTTTTCCATGTTCCTCCTGCCCTAGTCTCCGGATCTGGACAGACGCCTCCCTCTCCCCCTGAGGTGCCCACAGCCAAGCCTGGCTCGGCCCTCCCGTGGAAGGAGGCGCAGGAGAAAGCAGGCCACGCACGGCCTCCAGGAGACACTGGGTGTGAGGCAGCACTGCCAGCTACGGGAGCGGAGGTACTGCATCTTGTCTCCCTCGCCTCCCCGCCCAAGTGTCTATCTGCTCTGAGGCCAGAGAAGGAATGACCCAGCTCAGCCCAGAGCCTCAGCTCACCTGATCTGCTTGCCTTCCCGCATGTCGTACAGGGAGAGGAAGACGTCGGTGTCCTCCCCGATGGTGTTGTAGGTGAAGCTCTTCAGGCTGAGGAAGAAGTGGTGCGGCACGGGCATCCGGCAGGTGTCCCCGTGCCGGGGGCGCATGGTGTCTGCCTGAGGAGAAAGGCAAACCCAGGGCTGTTGTCTGGCTCCTGGGAGTGAGTCAGAGAGAGGAAATAACTGACTAGCTCCCCGCAGGAGAGGCCTGCGGCGTGTTCTCGGCAGGAGGGCCGCGTCAGCGCACCGGGTCTGACCGGGTCTGACTGGCAGCTACGCAGCTGGGAGAAGCAAGCCGAGTGCCAGGGACAGGGCGGGAATCCCAGCTCCCTCCCGGGTCCCACACCTCAGCTCTCCAGGGAACCGTTCCCCAGCCACTTCCCGGGGGTCCAGCCCTGATCCTGGTGCACGTGACTCACATGGGGCGGCAGACAGTCACCATCCTAAGTGACATTTGTGTTTCCTGGCGGACTGGCCACCCCAGCCTCTCAGTCTCCTTTCTTTCAGCTGCAGATGCACAGAGGAGAGGGCCTGGACGGCCGCTTACAGGCCGGCTCCTTGGCGGAAAGCACCACCGGAGGGAAGAGCCAGGGCATCCTCTCTGGTGCCCCCCGGGGCCGCTGAGCTGCTTACCTGGGACGTGCTCTGCTGGACGCTCTGCCGGCTGGATAGATGCTGCGGAGAGAAGGAAAGCATTTCACTCAACTGGGAGGAACTTTCCATTAAGCCTCTTCTTTCCGTATTTTAGGCATTCTACTATGTCTTTTATACATACGATCTCATTTAATTCTGATAACCTTGTTAGATAAATGTCACTCACATTTGGTTAACCCTTAGACAACCAAGGCTTAGCACAAGAAAGCCATGTGCTGAAGGTCACGTGGCAAGAAGGCGGCAAAATCCGATTCAAACCCAGGCCTCTCTGCTCGGAGTCCCGCCAAGTCACAGGAGGTACTTGCTGCTGGAGTTCTGCTTTCGCTCCGTTCTCTCCACATACCGCCTGGGCCATGCCTGAGCCAATAACCTAGCTGTCCCGCTCTCCTCACTGCAGGAGGGGTAGCCTTGAACCTGAAGAGGCTCCCTCCCAAGCATCTCTCCAGCTGTTCCTTTGCTGCTGGCTGAAGTCAGAAGCAGCAGATTCCAATCCCAGCCACACCAAGGAGGCTGTGAAACTTCAGAGAAATCAATCACTTACTCTCCAAGAGATACTTTCCTTAACTGTAGCAATAAGGTGAGGGCTTCTGTCTTCCTCACAGGGGTGTTAAGAGGCTCAAATTTCAAACTGAGAAGCAGCGTGACAGAGTAGTTAGGGACCTGCGTCAGGACACCTGGTTTTCAATCTAGACTCACACCTGTGTTTCCTCATTTGTAAACTGAGGACAACTTCTTAAATCTTCATCTAAGGACAGTTTTTCCATTGATTTTCAGAGAGACTGAGAGGGAGGGAGCAGAGAGAGAGAAATATCGAAGTGAAAGAGACACTAACTGCCTCCTGTGCATACTCCAACCAAGGGTGGGGAACGAACCCGCAAATGAGGTATGTGCCTGTGACTAGGAGCTGAACCGGGACTAACCCTCTAACCACTGAGCAACAGGCCAGGACAAGGATAACATTTTGTGCTGAACTCAACATCATAGGATTTTATGCAGATTAAGTTAGCGTATACCTATATTTGTGAATGTCTGACCACTGTTATCTATGATTAGTATTATTCTTATTGGCATTCTTTTTAAAAAATATAAATATATTTTATTGATTTTTACAGAGAGGAAGGGAGAGGAATAGAGAGTTAGAAACATCAATGAGAGAGAAACATGGATCAGCTGCCTCTTGCACACCTCCTACTGGGGATGTGCCTGCAGCCAAGGTACATGCCCTTGACCGGAATCGAACCCGGGACCCTTCAGTCTGCAGGGCTACGGCTCTATCCGCTGAACCAAACTGGTTTGGGCAACGTTCTTCTTCATAATTAGTTACTATAGAAAAGTCAGTCACATTTAGAAGTAACCCTTGCCAAAAATAAAAACAAAAACAAATGATTAGCTCACAAACATTAGGTCCCTGGTCTTAGAGAGCTCAACAGTGCGTTTCTATCCTGTTTCCTCTGGGCCTGGAAGCGTGAGGGAACGCACATCTGCTGAACGCTTCCTCATCGCGCAGGTACAGGCTGGTTTCTGAGTAGAATGGCCTCACTTCCTTTCCAAATACATACATTTAACCCTAGATAAAACTAAAGTAAAATTAAATATTCACTTAAATGCATCTCAATAACTGCATTTGCTATTAAATATTCATGTGCATTGTTAAATGAGCAAGTTATTATTGACTATTAATGTTCATTCATGGGACTACATGCCCAGGTTGCGGGCTTGATTCCCAGTGTGGGGCGTGCAGGAGGCAGCCGATCCATGATTCTCTCTCGTCACTGATGTTTCTATCTCGCTTTCCCCCTCCCTTCCTCTCTGGAATAAAAACATGTTTTTAAAAAGTTTGAAATAAAGTTATCAGTCCTCTGTTCACCCTGTTCTGTGTCCCAAAAGGTTCTTTCGACTCCTCAATGTGTTTTCCTAAATTAGTAAAATATTTCTTTATGTCAGACTTATAATACTCTATCCAACTTCCGATTTCTCTGATGTGGCCTCTTGTAATGGAGCTGAGGATTCTGGTATTTGTTTCTATCTACCTCACTTCAACTATATATGTAATGTCTTGCAAGTTTTGGTCAAAACTGGATACTATTGTAACAGCTGGCTCCTCCAGCTACACTTCCTGTCTTCTAGGCTTTCTGCTTTAGGATCAGGGATCACTTCGTCCTATTAAATGATAGGGCCCTTTCCTATGCCCTCCAATAGCTCTACAAAATACCTTTTAGTAGCGCTTCCCCCAGGGTGGTTTCCCCATGACTCTCCAGGAAGTGGGCTTTCACCTGGAGACACCCCTGCCCGGCGGCGCCTCTGCTTCCGCCAGGACCAGTTACTCCCCTGGCCACCTGCGACCCGGACCCCTCTGAGGCCACCGAGCGTTCTCTGCACCTCTCAACGGAGTCAGAACCCCTCTCCTGGGTGGCACATAGTAGCGTCTTTTGGATTGCTCCGATACTTTAAATAAATAATTCATTTTCAGTGGCTTCCTGAAAAGGGTTTCTAAAGAAAGATTTTTTTGGGACTTTAAGTGAGCAAAATCTTCTTTAGGCTACTTCCCCATTTGATCAGTAATAGGGCTCAGTAATATAAAATTCTGGGTTGAATTTTGTCCCCATCAGCATTTTAAAGGCAATTCTTCGTTACAGCTGGATTCCAATGTTGCTTTTAGGAAGACAGTGCTATTCTTACAACAAACCCTTAGTAGGTGACCCACTTTCCTCGCAGGAAGCTTTTCAGCTTTGTGAGCTGAAATTCCACAATTAAATGCTAAACACTTGTTCTACCCTTTCTATCTGGAGACTCATATCTATTTTCTGGGAAAGTGTTATTTCTAGCTGCATGAGATCTAAGTGTCATAAAGCGTTGTATGAACTTAAGGTGTAGGATGTGACCATCTGATACACATGTGTGCTGGGAGATAAGCTACTTTCATGTCATGGAACTCCCTATTGCTGGGTGTGAGATTTGAGATCTGCCCTTTTAGAAACTTCCAACACATGACACCCTGCTGCTGCCCACCATGCCTAGGCTGTGCAGGCGATCCCAGAGCGGAATCCTCTTCCCTGTAGAGGTTTGGACCCTCTGACCAACATCCACCCTCAGCCCCTGGCGATCACCATTCTACTCCGTTTCTATGAATGCAGCTTTTTCAGATTCTACCTATTAGGCCATGAAGTATTTGTCATTCTTTGACTCACTTAGCACAGTACCCTGAAGGTTCATTCGTGTTGTTGCAAATGACAGGGTAACCTTCCTTCTTACCGCTGACAGTATTCCGTGGCGCACACACAGCATTTCCTTTAGTCATTCGCCCACCAGTGGACATTTGTTTAGGTTGACTCTATGTCTTGGCTACTGTGACTGTGCTGCAACCAGCATGGGAGTGCGGCGACCTCGCTGAGATGCTGGCTTTAGTTCCTCCGGACACACGTCCAGAAGCGGGATTACTGCAGTTGTAGTCTTTGTTTTTTGAGGACTCTCTATCCAGTTCCACAGTGACTACACAAACTTATCCCCACCAACAGTGCGCCAGAGTTCTCTGCTCCATGTCCTGGCCATACTCGGCTGCTGTCTCTGTGGTGACAGGCATTCCATTCCAGGTGTGAAATAATATTTCCTTGCCATTTTGTTTTGCATTTCCCTAATGATCAGTGATATTGAACACCTTTTCATCTTCTTAAATAGAAACTTGTAATTCTTTATAGAACTTAATTCTCACCAGTATACAGGGTGTTCCAAAATATGGGTGTCCCCCTAAAATATATACACACTATGCGGATTCTATTACACTTTTGAAAATGAAGTGTATTTTAACAAGCACTCCTATTATCATCATCCAAAGCGGTACACTTCGGGGGCACCTGTGTGCTTCTTGAATATGTACATACTCCTTAAAGAGACGTTTCACCCGTCCCTTATTTACACACAATAGTCACCTGCGGTTTCTGACGTTTGTCATACAGTAAAATTGTGTGCCTTTCATTTGCTTTTTTCCAGCTTATAAAATGTGGTCTTGGCTATTTGCCAACTCAACACATTTCTGCAACAACTAAGGATTTAACAGGCTGTCTCTCTCTCAGAAATATTGACACATTATTTCCATGTTAATCACTGCATTAACCAATAACTGGCTCTTTTAAGCTTGAACTGGAGACAGGATTTTAGGAGCTGGTGAAAGCTAAAGGAGCTTTGGCTCTGTTTACCGCAAAACCAACAGAGAAACGCCCACTGACATTACAACAGCCCAGCACTCTGCACAGTATTCCACTTAGAAAAGCAAGTGTGACACACTGCCAGAATAAGGAAACCCCTTAATTATTCTGGGACAAAGACAAAGGAACCATTTTATTTCATAACATCTTTTCATAGCATAATTAGGACAAATAAAGGAGAAAAATGAGTGTGCAGGAGCAAGCTACTCTGCGTTAGCCTTCTTACCATTTTGTAGAGATCAGAGACACTGATCTGGTCCGAATCCACCACCTCGAAGTCCTTCCGAGGCACCAGGTCCAGGCCCAAATGCCTAGAAAAGAGAAGACCACACTCAGCCGCACGCGTGAGAGCCAGGCCGCCGTGAGCTGTGGACAGGGCTGAGCCTGCTCAGGGCACAGCCTTTGGTAACACTGCCCTGCGTTCACCTTTAGGTAAATACGGAAGGCGACGCACTGCTAGGCTCAAGCAGGCCCCCGTGATGGTAAGAAAGACTCATCTGCTATCGCCTTGTAAACAGGTGGATTGTGTTCATTAAGGATGGCTTTTCTATAATCATGAATAAGTCACATTTATTTTTTATTTCTCTCCATCCTACAAGTATGCTCAAAGTTCAGTCGTGCATCACTGCCACTACCAAGAGAAGTTAGCCAGGATCCAAGTAGCTGTGTAATCCAAAGCCAGACACGTAACAAGATCACCTGCTGAAGATATTAAACGCAAAGAAATGTATGTTTTGGTGGAATTTTATCTTATTTTCAATTTAATTAAAACTGACAATGGGTTATAGTAAAGACATTACCACATATTAGCCAATATCTTAAGAAACTTTAGACAGAAGCTTAACCAAAGAGGACAACTGCCAAAGAACTCGGTACTTGGGAGATCTGGTGTACCTTAGGCAGAAGGAAGAAATCGTGTGATTAACGGTCGGCCTGGAGGCAGTGTGAGACAGAGACTCACTGGACATGATCAGAACTTGGGCTCAAACACAGGACACAATTTATGGTCAATAAATGTTAGCTCCTTTCTCTCTCTAGAAAAACAGCTCGGAGCTGTGGACCCTGAGACTGCTTACAACAGTACGTACACTTGTTCATTGTACAAGTGATCATTCACAACGTTTTCCAAATATTCGGCAGTCAGGCCACTGAAATCTTTTAGATACAAAAATGAGACAAAACTTCATAGATGTTCTTTAACCACTAGAGGTCACAAAATATATGATAGAGTAATAGTAGAATTAAGTAACAAAAAGACTATGGAGATAACCCGATTAAAATAGGTGTTTTCAATATAAGAGCTTAAGGAAAAATCCAGCCGGATCTAAGCCAAGAGGGCCGGGTGCATGTGCTCTGAATCAGTGCACCCGCACAGTGATACCCATGCCAACTCTATCTTATCGGCACTCGGACACTCTTGCCTTGCTTGTCCACCCAGCTGTCCACCTACACACTCATCCACTCACTCTCAGACCTTTTATGCAGCGACCACGTGCTGAATGCAAGAAAAACGGCAGTTTTCAGCCAAGTAAATGCTGGTATTCAACAGGCTAACTCTCCCGAGAGCACAGTGTTTTCCCTCTCCTAGAAGTCACTAGAGCTTTTAGCTTGTCGGTTTCATTATAAAATAAGAGAATGATTCACAGGTGATTGGATAAAATAGAGGACAAGTTCCTTCTACTAAGACTGACTTCAACGGAGAGGGTAGTTTTCAGAAGCTAAGTTGAACAAGTGTCCTCATTGGAGAGGAAGAGGGGCGGCACAGGGAGAAGCAACACGTGTTCACACACACTGCCTCTGAGGGAGGTTCCTGGCCTTCTCTGTGGTTTAAGGACAGAGCAGTTAAGTGCAGGAAATGGTCAACTTAAGGAGTTCATGTTCACAGCAGCCGAGCAGTTAGGAACGTGGCTCTCAGGTTATACTGCCTGGTTCATATCTTGGCTCTTCTCCAAGCCACACTGTCTTCCCTATTAGCACAGGCTGTTGTAAGAGTTAATCCAGGTAAAGCACTCTGCTGGCACTGTGAACTGGACAGCTGTTATAATTATCACCAGTATGTGTTACAGTATGAGCCAATATATGGCTTAAAGGGTAAGGACTGTGATCAGAGAGACGCAGTGTCTGAATAAGACTCAAACAGAAGCAGAAGACACACATCTATATACAGCTACATACAGAGATAGTACACAGCTGAGTTTTCAAAAATGGTCCTACTAATTGCTTAGGTCAGTGGTCAGCAAACTCATGAGTCAACAAAGCCAAATATCAACAGTACAACGATTGAAATTTCTTTGGCGAGCCAAATTCTTAAAACTTAAAACTTCTTCTAACGCCACTTCTTTAACATAGACTTGGTATTTTGTGGAAGAGCCACCCTCAAGGGGCCAAAGAGCCTCATGTGGCTTGCAAGCCGCAGTTTGCCCATCATGGGCTTAGGTGAACCATCTTCAAAAATATTTAGGCTTCGCTTACCACCTGTCACTCACCACTCATTCATGCATTCCAATAACTCACTGTTTACCAGCACCTACCCTGGCCAGTGCATGCTGAAGAGCAGACACAGCAGTGAATATGAGACATGGTCCTGGTTCTACATTCTTTCGGGTGTATCTCTCCAAGGGCCCTGAATCTTTACATCAAATTCTTTCAATTTTACATTTTTCTTTTTTTCAAATTAAGTTTTGTGGGGTTTTTTGTTTTGTTTTGTTTTTTACTCATTTTAGAGAGAGAGGAAGGAGAGGGAGAAAGAGAAACATCGATGAGAAGCATCAATATTGATCAGCTGCCTCCTGCACCCCCCCGCCCCCCTTGCTGGAGATCAAGCCTGCAACCCCAGCATGTGCCCTGACCAGAAATCAAACTGGTGAGCTCCTGGTATATGGGTCCACACTCAACCACTGAGCCGCACCAGCCAGGCAGAATTTTACCTTTCTAAATGTTCTATATTCTATTTTCTCCTGGGGATTCCTCATCTGCAAGAACACATCCTCAGTCCTTTCTGAAGAAGGGGGCCATGAAGGATAGCGTCTCGATTCTTGAATACTTCAAAACCGCTTTATTTGCCCCACTCGTGATTAGATAGTACAGCTGCTATCGTACTTTTGAAGATATTACTTCATCATATTCTAGCATCTAGTGTTACTGATACAACTTTTGAGGCCAATGTGATCCTTATTCTTAAGACTTGCTTTTCTGTCTGAAAACCTTGTGGGTTGTTCTCACCAGCCATGAGTACGAAAATACCTTGGTGTGCCTGGCAGTGGTTTGGGGTTTCCCTCACTCACAGTAGGTATCCGGTGGGCCCTTTCACCCTGAGACTCCTGGTTCTTTGGCTCTGAGAAGTTATCTTCTATCGTTTCTATGGAATGTCTTCTTTATTTGCCTTTGTATGCTTTTCTCCTGGAAATTATAATGTCTGATGTGGGACCCCCTGGTCTAACCCTCTGTATTGCCCTTCTTTCTTCAATCATTTCCCATTCTTTTTTATTTTCCTAGTGACAACATAGAATTATCTTCCTAAATGTTTTATTTTGGAAGCCACATACTCAGTTTCTTTTTTATAGCATTTTCCCCCTACATAATGGATTTTCTTGATTCTTTTGGAGGATTCTCAGATTGTTTAAAAGTTCAGTAGATGAGTGTATTAAAAAACTGTGGTACATCTATACATCAGAATACTGCGCTGCTATAAAAAGGAAGGAACGTCTACCATTTACAATAGCATGGATGGACCTGGATAACATTATGCTAAGCAAATTAAGTCAATTAGAGAAAGATAAATATCACATGGTCTCCCTCATTTGTGAAATATAATGAACAACATAAACTGATGAACAAAAATAGATCCAGAGGCAGAGAAGCATCGATCAGACCATCAAACCTCAGAGGGAAGGCAGGGGAGGGTCGGGGAAAAGGGGAAAGATCAACCAAAGGGCTTATATGCATGCATAGAAGCCTAACCAATGGACACAGACACTAGGAGGGTGAGGGCACAAGCGGGGATGGGGGTACCATAGAGGGGTAAGGACACATATGTGATATCTTAATCAATAAAGAAAAAAATAAAATAAAAAGTTATTACTCATCTCTGACTCTCTCTGGGGCATGATGACTTCCTCTGAGCTAGGCATTTTATTTACCCTGATTCCCACCTCTTCTTTATGGAAGGATTTCTGCAAATGTTTGCTGATTCTCGATTGGCCACTCAGACTTCCAGTTCTTAGAAGTGCGGGAGTTTCCGTCCATGGGCCGGTGACTAGCAAACTTCTCTTTCTGCTCAGTGGGAGGGATTTGGTCATCACACTTGGAAACCCTTTGGTGCCACAATACCGAAGGCTCTACAGTAAGGTCCCCACTCTCTCTTGTCCGGTCTCCTCCCGGGCAGCTGGTCTGCAGTGGAAACACTGGCTGCCAGGCCTTCTCTCGTGGTGGGGGATTCTTCCTCTCACACACTCCCCCCAAACCCCCCATTTTATGTTCAAAGGCACACTCCTCCCCTCCGTGATTCTGTGCGTCACAAAGGAGTAGCTCCTTCATTAGCTAAACTTCCCCACATACACTGGGCTTCCTCTGTCCCCACCCTCCGACGGCTTTGTAGAAATGGGTCCTATCTCATTTATTGCCGGCCCCTCCCGTTCTTTTTCTTTTCTATTATTTCAATGATTATTTCAATGATGTCTTGAGAGGAAGAGGAGCTGAAGACTTGTACTAATATACTTAAGGTATATGTAGATCTTAACAGGAAGTAAACTGGTCACTTCAAAGTTTAACGGACATGATTTTAAGAGTATGAGACAAAAGTATCTGAAAATTATATCAATGATTAAGTCTAGGAAGAAATAAAATCTAAATACTATTTACTCTAGCTTCCCATAGCAAAGTCTTAGGATTGTACTTGTATGGCAATAGCAAATAATCACACCCATACATACAGGGCTATATTTGAATGAAAATTAGTTAAGAATATTCTGAAGTACAGATGTAAAAATTCCCATTTGTAGTATATGCTTATTTAGATGCACCAAATTCACATTTATTAAAAAGACACTAAAAGATAAAACAAAAGCAAATTCTGATTCCTGAGGTCGATAATCAAGGAATCTGAGCGGGAAGAGACCTCAACAAATCATGCTGTCCAATCTGATTTCCCAGAAGTTAAAACGGAGGCTGGGAGTGTGTCAGTGAGCAGAGCTAATGAGTGTCCTTTGCTAAACTAAAAGAAACGACAACTCATAGTAAAAATGACCAGAGCTCATTGGAGTAGAGAGTATAATAATGACTTTTAACCACTAAGAGAAGCTACGGTTACGCACAGACTCCATGAGGACTGAGTTGCTGTAAATAAAGCTGAGAGAGGCCCAAACAGCAGACATACTTACTCATTCCCCCAGTCCAGGCGCACGGTGATGTGCCGCTTAACCTCCCGCACCTGATCCTGAGTCAGGTGACCAGACAGTAGCTGCCTTCGAAGGTCAATAAGTTCATTCATCACATGGCGAAGTTTGTAGAAAAGATCTACTTTGTGTTTCTGAAAGGGCATTTTTGGTGTTGGGGGAAATAAAAAATGGACATGGAAAAGGAATGAAAAAAGAAAGAGAAATAGTTAAACTGAGAAGTGCTCATTTCTCTAAACCTCTAAAAAGGCAATGTAAAGAGAAGTCCATCTAAGATCTAAAAGTCCTTAGTTCATGTAGTTCGTGCTACCTAAAACCTCCACGCAGTGACGTAACAGCTGCAGCTGCCCTGGCCGGCACAGCTGTGTATCTCCACTCCACAGTCAGCAGTCAGCGTCACCGACTTAACGGGACGGGAAGCCGCACAGGAGCCGAGCTCTGTCTGCTCTGACAAAAGGTACCATACTGCAGCGACACAGAGTACTCAATGGGGGAGGCAGAGCGAGAACCGCTTGCCCTATTTAAAGGCACGAAGGCTTCAAATAAAGCGCGGTCTCCAGAGGAACATTCACTCCCGTTTCCAGGCTCATCTGGCTTTAATTAGCTTCTGTAAACAGTATGCGTCCCCGGTGTCACAGATGCCTCGTCTTTCTGGTTTAATAAAAAGTGTCACCTTCATAAGAGGTGAGTGGGAACTTTTCAATGAACTTACTGATGTCACAGTAGCTATATTTATAAGTAAAAAATGTAAGTGGCATGACAGTAGATGCTTGAGAAAAAGTTATACTTAAGAACATAGATTTTAAAAATAAATTCCTATCTGCTCACAAATGAATTTTTTATTTTGGAATTTTTAGGTTTCTGTATTATAGGGAAGCATAATTTTATATAATTAAAACTCTTGGAACGTAACTTATCTGAATAAATGTTTTTAAAGATAGATCAACCTATACTAGTGATTTTCAACCGGAGTGTCGCAAGAATGTTTATAACATGCAATACCTGACTATTTAACAGGGGCACTGGCCTCTTCCCTTAGATTGTCAAAAACAAAAATGACAACAGGCAGCCCAATAATAACTATCTGGATTGAATGAACCAAAAGTATCCCCATTTTCTTTGTCAGATAAGCATAAAATATGTTTGATGTGCCACAGAATTTTAGTAATTAGTTTATGTGTGTCATGAGATGAAAATCATTGGCCTACTATTTGTTAGTAAAATCTCTATCTGAGATTTCCCCTAAAAGGGGGCTTGCCAAAATAAGCTTGATTTAAGTGGCTATAAATAAAATTAATTATACAGTAAGTTACAAATGTTTTTGCTTAGTTAATTATAAAGCAAACTGCTATTTTTTAGGTGGCAATGACCTCACAACAAATGTTCAAAACATCATACTCCTGAGAAACCACTGAATGGAGCACCAGACTTAATGGTCCATCTTAAAGAGAAACTATTTTTAATTGGAAAAACCTAAGGAATCGTGTGCTCTAACTTCATTTCAAATGGCATTCTGGCCCTTCTTCGTCCATGACCATATGAAAAAAAGTTAAGCACCTTGCTGGGACACAATGCTAGCAGAAGGGCAGAATTTACAAAGTCCTGCCAGCTCAAAAAGCAAGGCCTAAGCAAACAGCATCTGGCAAACTGAGATCTTGAAGATAAGCAGAAAAGGCAATGCGGTTTTGATAAAACAGGGCTACCTATCTAAATTTAAAATAGAAAGTTAGAATTATTATTTTTCCATGGAACCACATGTAATAATAACCCACTGCATATGTAAAGAGCATTTATTCGTTCACTCAATTAACAAATGATCACAGAGCAGCGGCTGAATGCTACCATTTTGTTGTGATCAGAAGTTCCTATTCCTGTGTTTTTGTTCCACAGAGCAGAGATGAACAAAGGAAAATAAGTAAATGGTGGTGGTGAGCTTTAAGAAAGAACATTGGAACAGAATAGGGACAGTAGGTAGCCATGGGCAGCGGGAACAGGGGAGAAGGCACTCTGTCAGGGGGTGGCCAGGGAAAGGCTTCTTTGGGAGCTGAACGGAGAGGAGAAACATGAAGGAAAGGAGGTGACAGCACCTGAGAAAGCCGGGCAGGTTTTAGAGGCACAAATCAGCAAGGGCAAACGCCTCAATGTGGCAGAGGCCTTGGAGTGGCGAGGAGGGCAGTGCCTCCCGGGCGAAGAGAACCAGGGAGAGGGGTGAGGATGCAGCCAGAAGCCACAGGGGCCAGAGGACACAGCCTGCATGAGCCATCTTTGGCTTTTATTCCAAACAAGATGGGAAGCACTGGGATTTGCAGCGGAAGAGTAATGCGCTATGACTTAAGTCCTGAAAGCATCACAGAGGGCTCTGTGGAGAGGAAACCATGAGAAGAGGAGCGCAGGGATCCCGGTGAGAAAGCTCTGGACTGCAATGACCCACAGAAGGAGGGCTGCCTGGGTGAAGGTCGGACAGTGGTGATAACAATGGTAGGGCTCAGTTTGACATGGCAGAGCTATCAGATCTGCTGATAGATTAGGAGTGGGAAATGAATGAAGTCAAAGATCACTCCTTTTCCTGGCCTGGGAACACATCTGAAAGAGGGAAACAAGATTTACTCTGGACATGCTAATTTGACACGTGACATTTAGAGGTCAGAAAATCGAGAATTATCTAGCAGAGAAAACTGAGAGGGAGGGGTAAGCAGGGAGGCGAAAGAAAAAGCAATACTGAAAACAGGATTTTACAAAGGACTTTGTCAAATGCACTGAAAGATTAAATAAAATACAGACTGAGAACTGCCACGGGATTTGGCGCTGTAGTGCCATCACCGACCTCTACGGGAGCAGATGTGATGGAATGAAGTGAGTTCATGAGAGAACAGAGCACGGATGAACCTAGAGGTATTATGCTAAGTGAGTTAAGTCAGCCAGAGAAAGACAAACATATGACATCACTTATATGTGGAATTTAAAAAAACAAATTAACTAACAAAATAAAAACCGATTCATGGAAACAGACATAAAACTGATGGTTGTCGGAGGGGGCGAGAAGATGGGTGAAGAAGGGGAATATAGTTTAAAACACCGTGACAGCTGCACGGTGACAGATGGTTACCTGACTTAGTGTGGCGATCGCATCAGTAGGCATACACCTGGTAAATGTCGAATCACTATATTGTACACTATGTTGTAAACTAATATAATAATGTGTACCAACTACATTCAAGTTTTAAAAAGAAAACAAAGAAGAAATGGAGACAGAGCATAGACAATTCTTTTGTAGAATTTTCAGTAACTGAAGGCAAAGAAATGAGGTGGCAGAACAGGCTGTGTGATCAAGGGAGAGAGCCAGGCTATCTGTGTGCTGAAGGGAATGATTGAAGAGAGAGCAAATGGGATGATCCAGGTGCTAAATTCTTGAGCAGCCAAAAGGAGGGAGGTCCCAGGTCACAGAGGAGGCTCCGCTTTTGGCACAAAGAGGAGAGGCCCAGGATGTGGCAAATGCCACAGCAGCTGGGAGGTTTGGTGCAGGAGAACTGGGTTTTTCCTCGGCTGCTTTAGTCTCAAGGAAATAGAATGCCAGCCGTCAGTGGAGAGGGAGAGGGGTGGGAGCGGCGTTGGAGTCTGAGGATAGGGAAGATGTGAGACAGTTTCATGGAGAGTGCTAACACACTCAGCAGGGGAAAGGGAGTTCAGCTGCCAGATCTCTCGAGATTTGTGAGCATTAATTAAAAGGTTGAGTTTTTGTTAAGCCAAGTACATCTGACGCTTGAACAACATGGGTTTAAACCAGGCAAATCCACTTTACCCGGTTTTCTTTCAGTATTAAATACCTCCACATTTTCAACCCACGAGTGGCAGTCTATGTGTGTGGGGGCCAACTGTATGCACTGACCTTCGCCACTTCGCATGGGGAGTGTGAGCATCTGCAGATCTTGGCATCCATGAAAAGTCCTGGAACCCACCCCTGAGGATACTGAGGGACAACAAGGTTTTGGGGGAGTCCAAAGTTATACACAGATTTTCAACTGTGCTGGGCGCCAGCACCCCGAGCCCATGTTGTTCAAGAGTCAACTGTATAATGTATATTGATACTGAAATATTACATACATGTGCATATGTATACACACCGTTCAAGGTGAGTAATCTGGCGCCTGACCGCTGAGCACACGGTTTACTTAGGATCACCTGACACCCCGGGCCAGCTGGGTACCCCACTCCGGCTTTCCCACCAAGAGGCCTGATTAATAACAGGCAGGAGTAAGGGTTAGCTTTCCCACACAATCATCCCCAGCTCCTGTCACTGCTCAAACAAAGCAGGGGAGGGGTAAGTGTAAGAGGAAAAAGAAATCTGTAGCCTAACTTAACGACACGTTCAAGCTTCTCCAAAAACTCAACAGTCTAATATTTGTCAAGAACAGTCAGACCATTTGGGAAACAGTCCAAAGAACCAGGAGAAACTATAACTTTACGCTGCAACCAGGTGCCAAGTAGAATGTGTCTCTCATTGTGCAAGAATCTCTGGAACGCAGCAGAAAAAAATCGGAGGCTAATACTCCCGACTTACACATTATTTCCACTGAATGGCATGTAAGCCAATGGGAGAAGGGCTGTGCTGGATGGTGCCTCTGAATCAGCTCCACCCTCAGGTATGGCCTTTCCTTAAAACTGTATATTCATAAAGGCATGCGGGTGTGATTGTAAAACGCTATTTGAAAGAAAATTACGTCAAAAGTAATGACCTCCTCAAAGAGAACAAATGTCCTGCCATTAGTACTGAAAACTTCAGGTGAAAATCAATTTAATGAAAGTTAAACTTTACATCTAAAATTCAAGTTGATTCCCAGATGTCTCCATTTTACCTCTTACTTTCGAACATTTACTTTAGTTGTAGGTAGATGGTTTATTTTCTCATCTTATTTCTTGTTAACAAAATAACCATTTTAAACTTGAATTTATTTAAACTTCTCCAAAATTCCTTTTCTTAAAAACTGCTATTAATAGTCAAGTCTCTTACCATAAGTTACCCTTTAATCCCACTCAAAATGTTTGTGTTAAACCACAAAGCTTTAGTGCTCATCTCAGTGTGATATAAAAACATCTCAGCCGCAGTTCCTGCAACACTAATGGCCTTGCTGCTACA